TTTGTTGCCTTCAGTAGAGTGCTGTGGCTTCACAGCTCACAGCAACCTACAACTCTTGGGCTTAAGTGATTCTCTTGCCTCAGCCTCCTGAGTAGTTGGGACTACAGGCACCCACCACAACGCCTGGCTATTTTTTTGTTTTTAGCAGACTGGGGCTGGGTTCGAACCCACCAGCCCTGGTGAATGTGGCTGGCGCTCTGCCCACTGAGCTATGGGTGCCACCTAAAATTTTAATTATATTAATACATGACACTAAGAGTAACAACAAAAATGGTAAATTATTAGAATAGAGATTCCCAAAACAGCTTTACTGAGATATAATCATATAATTAACCCATTTAAAGCATACAATTCAATGGTTTTAGAATACAGGTCATCACAAAGTTGCGCAACCATCACCATAATCAATTTTAGAATGTTTTCATCACTCCCAGAAGAAACCCAATACTGTTGGCATACACTTCCCATTTTCCCTTAAGTCTCCTTCCACTCAGCTCCTGGCAGCCACTAATCTTCTGTCTCTGTGGATTTGTCTCTTCTGAAATTTCATACACGTGGAATCATACAATGGCTAGTCTTTTGTGACTGGCTTGCTTCCCTTAGATAGTATTTTCAAAGTTTGTTCCCATTGTTTTATGGATTGTACTTCATTTCTTTTCATAACAAAATAAGATTCCAGTGTATGGTTATACTTTACTACGTTTTAGTTATCTGTTCATCAGTTGATAGTCGTTTGGGTTATTTCCACACTTTGGCCTTTATGAATAATGCTGCTGTGGACATTTGTATAATGTGAGTTTTTGTGTGATTGCATGTTTCCATTCTTTTGCGTATCCACCTAGAAGTGCTGTTACTGGGTTTCAGTAACTGGATAACTCCATGTTTAGGCCGTATTCCATCATTTTGCCTTCCCATGAACAGAGTGTGAAGGTTCTCATTTCTCTGCGTCCTTGCCAGCACTTACTGTCTGCTTTTTCAGTTGAGCCATCCTAGTGGGTGAGAAGTGGTAGTTCAGTGTGGTTTTGATTTGCATTTCCTCGGTGGTTAAGAACGTGGGGCATCTTTTGTGTACTTATTATCTATCAGCAGATCTTTAAGGGAATGTCTATTCAGATCCTTTGCTCATTTGAAAATTGGGTTGCATTTTTATTTTTCATTTTTAATAGTATTTTTTATTTTTATTCTTTTTAGTGACAGGCTCTCACTGTCTCTCCCAGGTTGGAGTACAGTGGTGTGATAATAGCTCATTGCAATTTCAAACTCCTGGCTAGAGCAATCCTCCTGTCTTAGCCTCCCAAGTAGCTGGGACTACCAATGTGTGCCACTGTATCCAGCTAATTTTTAATTTGTTATTATTTTTTTTTATGGAGACCAGATCTCACCAGGTTGGCCAGGTTTATCTCTAACTCCTGGCCTCAAGCTATCCATTCTCCCACCTTAGCCTTCAAAAGTGCTGGGTTTTATAAGCATGAGCCACTGTACCCAGCCCTCTTTAACAGTTCTTTATATAAATACTAGTCTTTTATCAGATATGATTTACAAAAACTTTCTCCCATTCTGCGGATTGTTTTTTCACTTTCTTGATGGTATCCTTTGATGCACAGACATTTTACATTTTCATCAAGTTCGATTCATCTACTTTTTCTTTTGTCTTTTGTGTTTTTGATGTCAGGTCTAGAAATCTGCCCATTTAAGGTCATGAAGATTTATGCCTATGTTCTGTTCCAAGAGTTTAATCGTTTCAGCTCTTACCAAAATATCATTTAATTGTTATATTTAAAAAAAACCCAGAGGAGCATTGGCGTTGTAGAAATTATAGATTCAGCATCAAAGTGTATTTTGATTTAAATGTTAATCATCAATAAAGAGAGAAATTGATGTGTTCATAAAGGAAAAAAAAACTCAAAGATCTTTAGACTGGCTAGTTGTGACTTTGGAGGATTGAGTGCCAAACTACTGTTATAAAATGAAGCTAATCTCATTTGCATTGCAATCAAATTGCTTTTAGTTAGGATTGAACAGTATCACTGGAAGTCACAGTTCTTTGCCAAGTGTCAAGTATAAATAAAACTTCAGCTGTAAGTAAGAGATAAAAAGGAAAGGAATCAAGAACTTTGCAACTATTAAGTAAAAATTGAAACAGTTTAATATTACTATTTGGAGAAGTAGTAAGGTGAATCCACATCTACACATAGTATAGTAAGTTACAAAATGATCACAATTGGATCATCCTAGATCATGTTTAAAAAATATCTAACAGAAAACATAAAAGCTTATTAATTTTCTTTTTGTGGAGATGCTAAATTTATCTTGATTCAAGAAAGCAAGTGATTAGCATGTTTTTAAGGTGCCAGAAGACAAGGGACAGGAAGGAGAAAATGTGTGATGATAGATATCAAAAAGAAAAAAAAAAGACAATTATCTAAACCATTTATAATAACATAAAACTATGAAGACAATAATAAATATGAAAAATGAAAATCCAGAAAGTTCCATTGACTTAAAGGGGAAGCTCAGGTAATTTACAGGTGGGGAAATCAGTATAAATGTAAATGAGCAGGCCCTGTGATGTCAGGAACATGAAGAACAGGTGTGATGAAACCTTCTTGTATGACTCAAATGTGACTGTTGGTTTTTTTGTTTGTTTGTTTCTATATTTTACTTTTTTTTTTTTTTTGAGACAGTCTCTCTCTATTGCCTTGGGTAGAGTACTCTGGCATCATAGCTCACAGCAACTTCAAACTCTTGGGCTTGAGCAATCCTCTTGCCTCAGCCTCTCGAGTGAGCTGGGACTACAGGCACCCATTACTATGCCTGGCTTATTTTTCTATTTTCAGTAGAGATGGCGGGGGGTGGGAGGGAGCGTACTTGCTCTTACTCAGACTCGAACTTGGGAGCTCACACAATACACCTGTTTGGGCCTTCCACAGTGCTTGACTGTTGTTTTAAGATGAATTAAAATAACGAATTAAAATAAGCCATTTCAACTCTCTATAGGGTCTTCTGCAGTATTATGATGAGTTATGTCAGGAGGTGCCTTCTGTGTTTGTCAATCTGATGACCCCTAAAATGAAAAAGGTTGGTGATGCTGAAGATTTATATTGATTACCCTGTTATTTAAAATTAGACTTTGCCTCTATAAATTATGGATTTTAGACTGTTTATTCTTGCCTAGACCCTCTACCTTTCTAGTCCAGCTTCATAGCTCTATTTCCTACAGAATTTCTTACGTCAGTTTTGTTGCCTTTGAAAAATATCTAAATCTAAAAATCCACAATTGTTTCCTGGTAGCCAAAGATGATTAAAAAGAAAAAGTTATTTTTATTGGGTATAATGGAAGGAAAGTAAAACTGAGAAAATACAACCTGTAATATTGGCTGGTAGTAAAGGAAAGCCTTTTCTGTGAATTCAGATGCTCCTGTTCATAGTGTAAGATGCTGTTTTCACTCTTTGTAGGTGGAATCTGTGCTGAGGCAGGGGCTCGCCATCTTGACCTGGTCATCTTTAACCCTGGAGAGCTTCTTTCAAGAAGTTGATTCAGTTTTGGATATGTTCAATCAACTTTTAAAGACGGTATGATTAATTAGTAAAAAAGGCTACGTATATTAACATTCAGAATGTAAGAAATAGTTTGATGATCTATGGAAGCTCTTTAGAGAGTGTGACTTTTCACTAAAAGTGTATCAATTAAAAAAATAATGCTTTTTGTTTCTTTTACTGCTTTGGGATCGTCCTTTAAGGTGGTCTTGTTCTTATCTCTGCATCATTTTTCCTTAGATATATTAAAGTAGTAGTTCAACTTCACACTGTAGGTTAGAAAATGGGATGATTATAGACTGTTGAAGATGGTGGAGTGGAATGCTTAAATATTGATTAATATTAATGCATTAAATATATTATATTATTGAATTAAATTGAATAATATTATAGTCATATATTAATCTATTGGAGACTTGTCTATTGATTTCTGATATGTTTGCTGCATGGAACATGCGTGTTTTTTTAAAATGTGTTAATCTGTCATGGAAACATAGTGTAATAGACAAACTCAGAGGCTTTGGAATCAGGTCAACCTGAGTAGGAGTCTCTGCCTTTTACTAGCTGTGTGTTCCTCCCAGGTTACTTCACTTCTCTGAGCCTCGGTATCTTCAGCTAGAAAGTTGGGCTATCCGTGTCTACTGTGCTAGAATGGGAATTAAGGAAGATACCACATACGAGGTTATGGCCCATGTTTCTGCTGAAGAAAAATTTAGTTCCATGTTAAGCTTTCTTTGGAGATGTATTCATAAAATCTTCACCAAATTATGGTTGGCTTAGGACACAAGTTTCTAGATCTAGCCCACTAATTAATTTATAAAAGCACATTTTGGATGAAAAACTAGCTATAAAGAGAAGTTTTTTTCCCACTTTTTCTTCTTTGTTGGTAGATCAATGACTTGTGTGAAATGCATATTGATACTGTTCTAAAGGAGATAGCCAAAACGGTGTTAATTTCCCTGCCTGAAGGTGGCGCTACCAGAGTAGAAGATATGTTGACCCTCAATGAGGTATGCATTTATTTATTGTATTATAATCACAAAATACTGGCTAATAAACGGAGAATGTGAACTGGTAATTTAACATTAGGGTCAGCAGCATTTAGGCATCCTAGCCTTTTTTGGACATCTTTTGTCCCCCAAACTTACATAGCTTCAGCAGTTCAAACTCATGGCCACACCCTAGATCCCTTGCCAATGTCTTCAGCCTAATGCTAGAATTCCCTGGGGCTCTTCTTCCTCTGTGCGTGCCACCAGGGCCGCATCATCTTACTCGTGCTTTTAACTACAACATACTTTCCAAGTCACTCAGAATCCTGGAGACTCATCTGGACTCCTTTCCTTACCTGTTTCCTAGCCTCTTAAGGCTTAGACAGGTTTTGCCTCTTACTTTACTCAGAGTTTGCTTGAGTAAGATTTTGCTCCAGCTTAAGTGGCAGAGGCACCTTGTGTTACAGCTCACAGGAACCTCAAACTCACAGCGACCTCAAACTCTTGGGCTTAAGGAATTCTCTTGCCTCAGCTTCTCAAGTAGCTGGGACTACAGGTGCCCACCATAATGCCTGGCTTTCTTTTGTTGCCTTTGTCATTGTTCTTTTAGCTGGCCTGGGCTGGGTTCGAACTCTCCAGCTTCAGTGTATGTGGCCAGCGCCCTACCCACTGAGCTATGGGTGCTGCCCGAGGCACCTGGTCTTTGCAGGATAAAATCTAACCTCTTTAGCATCTTATTATGTTGAACTTATTTGGATACCTGTTTGTCTTCCACTAACTTGAAAGCAAGAACAATAACCCTGTCTAATCATTTCCAAGACCCAGCAAGTAACACAATCTTTCTCGGAAGCACCCTCTCTCTGTTTTTTCCTGCTTGCCTGTGCTTCCTTTGTACCCTTGCTGCCAGCGTGGGTCACCTTGCTGTGTCCTTTTCAAGACAACCACAGATGGTTGCATTTCTGGGGGTCCAGTCTGGCCCCTGGGAAACAGGTTCATTTGCCCGTTTCTTTGGAAGTGCAGCTTCTTCTCCCCAGGACCCCTCTTCTTGCCTGTAGGGGCGAGACTGGCAGCTAGCCAGCATCATGCCTCAGGACTGCTTAGGCCCCGGTCAGCTCCTCTAGTTTAAATTACTAGAGGACACAAGTCAAGGTCTTTGAGTAGTTCTTTTGAAGTTCCATATGCCTGTTGCTACCAAATCTCTACCAGTGAGGCTACGTCCCTGCTCTAACCTCAGGGTGGGCAGTGGGCTGTGAGTTGCTTCACCTCTTCCTCTCTAAGAACTGCCTTCTGCATAATGTACGTGGTCTTAAAATTATTTATTCTCAATTGTAACTGAGACAACACGAAACAACTCATTTTGATATCCTGTTCTTTGTGCATTCAAGTTTAAGATGGTTATAACTTCCCGGACATTTGCTCCTTTCTTCATTATAGAGTAAGCTTTTTATCCTATTTTGTTTGATATCAATCTCTTTTATAGCAGCTTTTTTGGTTATTATTTCTCAGTTGTATATTTTCCCATTTTATTATTTTCAACCTCTTTGGCTTCTCTTATAAAGACTATTTGGCTATATTTTGTTTTTAATCTACTCCAAAAATCTCTGTTTTCTTTAATAAAACCAGTTATTTTAGCCTATTCTACTCTTTGCTATTTCTGCCAATTCTTGCTCAGAGAGGCTTATTTCTTGATGTGTTTTACAATTTGCATTGTGAACTCATACACATATGTGCATTTGTGGGAATCCTGCACGCTCTGGCTAAGAGCCTGTCCTGGGCGGTACCTAGGAGTTTTACCGACTTGGGACAATTTAATGTTAGTGTCTCATAACTAACATACGACTGTGTAGTAAACTATACAACCTGTGTAGTTTAGGATAGAATTTCCAAATACTACTCAAGCCCCAAACTTGTGTGAGGGTAAACTAGTGTTTACAACAAGGAATAATTTTTTCCCCATCCTAGAGTCTCAACTAATATAGCTAATTTTCCTTTCTAGGCCACTCTTTCCCTGAGGCCCTTGCCTTTGATTTTCATGATGTTATGTGGAGAGGAGGATGGGTAGATCTGGCCTCCTGCCCAGATGAGGGCTCCAAGGCCGTATTTGGTGTTTTGGTTATGAAATAAAAAGCCCCCATTGAAGTTGTGGTTTCAGCTTAGTTTTCATTTTAGGCCCATGTTTTTTGCTTTTGTTTTTAGTTAAGGTGTAGCACATATATAGAAAATTGTGTAAGTCTTAAGTGCACTTTTTAGGGAATGTTTACGTATGCTACGCCCTTGTCACTGTCTCCAAGAGGGAGATATAGGATACTTTCTTTACTCCAAATCATTCCTCTGTGGTTCATTCCAGGAAATACCACCTTCCTTACACTCCCAGGAGTAATCACCAGTTGAATTCTACCACTGTGTATTAGTTTTGTCTGTTTAGAACTTCCTAGACATATAAGTGGAATCACAGAGCATATACCCTTTCTTTTGCTCATTTTATAGTTGTGAGGTTCATCATTGTAGTCATGTGAAGCATTCGTTCATTCATTTCCATTGCTTTATAGTATTCCATGGTATACATTTTTTTGCAATTCATTAATCCATTCTACTGTTGAGGGCATTTGGATAGTTGACAGCTTTTTGTTATACACTGAGCATTCTTGCACATGAGTTTTTGTGGACATTAAGCACTAATTTTTGTGAATATATACCAAGGAGTGAGATTTCTGACTCATAGATCATAAATATATTTAGCTTTAATAGCATTCTTTTTAGAGTTGGTCTATTTGAATTAGGAGCCAGACAAGTTCATGTATGACAGCAGTGTCCAACCTGTGGCCCACAGGCCACATGCTGATTTTGTGAAAACTTTTTCTGCTTATCTGTGGTGTCGGATATGACAAAAAGTAATAAAGTAAAAAATATGCATGAACCATATTTTTTGATAATCAGCTTTTGTTCATGCTTCTGTATTTAATGTGTGGCCAAGATAACTCTTATTCTTCCAATGTGTGGCAGAGGAAAAAAAGGGCTAGACACCCCTGAAATCATCCTTCACCCCCACTGATTATTTTGGTTTGCAACTTTTTTATTGTGATAAAATATATTAACATAAAATTTACCATTTTAACCATTTTAAGTGTACAATTCACTGACATTAAGTACTTGCACAGTGTTGTGTAACCATCACTGTTATCTATTTACAAAACCTGTTCATTATTCCAAACTGAAATTCTATACCTAGGATATGTAATTCTGCAGTACTGGTAGTAGGTTTCAATGCTGTAAGTCAAGGCGAAGAAGGCAGAGTTCTGAAGAGCATCTTTGCCAATCAGTAGGCTCCAGTCTCGGTCTTGGAGTGAGCTAAGGTCTGGTGTGTTTGGGCTACCTTCCCACAAACCTACCACCAGGTGGGCCATTATAGTGAAGGCAAGTCAGATAACACTCTAATCTGGGGGGGACAAGGTTTGTTTGGGCCAGAGATTTCAGATCACCTTTGGGAATCAGGGCTGCTTATAGTCAGAGCAGCATTCCTTGTCCTGGAACATCTAAGGGTTTTAGGATAGATGATATTAATTATTAAAAATCTTTCTTCCTGTTGGTTTCAAATCATTCCTTCTGTTCTGTGATCCTGAGGCTGAGACTGTAAGCTATGCTTCTTGGTCAACTGGCTCCCATTTAGATTTTGCCAGTGGGTATGTGCTACAAGGATGCTGGGGGGGGGGGGAGAGAAGGGACTTGCTCTTTGCTATTTTGCTTCCTGTTCTGACGCCATCATACCCGTAACAGCTCTTCATTGTGGCAGCAGCACTTAGTCACAGGCCCTAGGTTTTCCAGGCCTTCCAGAACCAGTCTCATGTTCTGGAAGCCAGCCTCCAGAGTCCCATGACGTCAGCACCGTGAGATCCCTCTCCGAGCTTCCCAGGTAGCTGTGCCATGGGCAGGCAGCTCCCTCGCTGGCCAGCTCCAGGTTCTAAGAGCCCTTCTTTCACGTTCTAGGGATGCTAGCTGTTTCTCAAGTTATTATTGGGTCATTTTGGGTCATTTAACAGTTGTTTAACCAGTTCTGTCTGTGAAGTTCTGTAATTCTATTTGTTATGATAGGTGGTGTGCCTTTTGTTTTCCTAACTTGACCCTAACTGATACATGCCTGTGTCTCAATAGATACATACAAATGGAATAGAAAATCAGGGAAAAATATGATCCAAGTTATGATAGATGCACTATTAAATACATTAAACGGTGTTTGAAATTCTGTTGGTAAAATCAACTTGACTCTATAGAGACAGAGTAGATTAGTGGTTACCAGGACTGTGGAGATGGGGGAGTAAGGTATGAGGATTCTTTTTGGAGTCATGAGCATGTTTTGGAATTGGATAGAGGGAATGATCGCACAGCTCTGTGAATATACTAAAAACCAGTGAATTGTACACTTCACAAGGTTAACTTTGTAGTATTTGAGTTATATCTCAATACAAAACCATCAATTTCACTGTTACCCAGCCTGTCCCTGGCCTACCTCTGAGGCACTTCTTTGGTATTTCAGGCTGTTTTTCACTGAGCTTTAAGAATGCTTTTAGTCCTCAGGATTGGTTAGCCTTCCCAAGAAGAGATGAGATCTTTATTCCTTGGTGTGGCCTCAGCTGGTGGAGTGACATGGTATAGAGTAGTTTTTGCAATCTGTTTGCAGTGATATTATTTTGTTAAACATATAAAGAAGGTGGCTGAGCCATTGGGATCCTCGCTGATGTAGGACATGTCTTTGCAGTGGAATGTGTACATCAAGTAGCTTATCCTGGGAGGCGCCTGTGGCTCAGTGAGTAAGGCGCCGGCTCCATATACCAAGGGTGGCGGGTTCAAACCCAGCCCCGGCCAAACTGCAACAAAAAATAGCCGGGCGTTGTGGCAGGCGCCTGTAGTCCCAGCTACCTGGGAG